ACATAATGTAAAAGAGTAAACATACAGAAAGGTTCCTCCTCCTCCTTCTCCTTCTCCTTCTCCTTCTCCTTCTCCTTCTCCTCCAACTCCTCCTCCTGCTCTATTTATTTCTTCTTCTTCCTAATAAAAACATATTAATATAGAGCCTACCCTGGCCTGGATTATGTCTAACACAATTTCAGGCACCCAATAGGCACTCTGTGAATGTTGGTTGCATGCAGAAATGACAAGAACATGTTTCTAACTAGTAAGAGCCATTTTCTAGGGACCGACTTGTAAGACAGTCTACCCTACAGCCATCCTACTACTGAGGATCGTGGTCATCAGCTATGCAACTCTGGCCAAGCATTCTTATAATTCTTCTTTCCAACCTGTCCCTCAGTGTTCTTGGTTTCTTCTCTCTCCCTCACCCCCCATCAAGTTTGTACTCTTCCCCTATGTTCTTTTCCTTGTTCTGTATTTCAAACTCTTACTTACTAGTAAACTAAATGCATTAATTATTATTGAAATAGTATATGCATGTAATACAAATATGTCTATACTTGACAAAGGCTTCCTCTACCTACTCCTGGTGCCACCACCCTAACCACTACACTACAATTAGTCCCCGTTGGCTTTTATTCTGAAATAGTCTCTCATTGCAAGTATTGCATCATTTCTAAAGCGAGACCTAAGAAAGTCCCGGCCTGTCCAAGTCAGGCATGGAGTGCTGAGCTGGGCACTGGATTACTTGACTCATCTAATAAGAGTTATAATGTCTTGCTCAGGAAACTTGTGGAATCTCCCTCTCTGGAATAATTTTTTGCATACAAAAATTCTCATTTCCTGCAATGGTTTAATTTTGGCTTAAAGGCAAAGCCATAAACTTGATGACTTAGAGAGACTAAGTTTCTGTGATTTCAAGATTTTTTTGTGAATTTTGCGAAGACACATGAATATAAAAATTAAATATCCTTTAGCTATGGTTTCTTTCTTAAATTGCACTAGTTATAAAAATGTGTATTCAGCTCTCCCAGGTGGTAAGTTTGTCAGCAAGCAACAAAAATGGAAGACATCTACCAAACTAGGACCAGGGGCATTTTAGAAAAAGGCACAAAAGAACCAAACAGAATTTGAGAAGGACTGGTAGAAAAGATAAATCAGAGAGCAGCTCTGAAGCGGGTCTTGATCAAGAGGATAACATTAGCTCTGCTTTCCTGGGAAGTCAAAGTAGTTGAAAAATGTAAAAGACAGTAATGTTAAGACAAAGCCAGTTGTTGCTGTCTTATTTTAAGGCTGCTGTGTTATTCTGCTTGGACTACCACAGACTGGGTGCCTTAAACAACAGAAATTTATTTCTCTCAGTTCTAGAGGCTAAAAGTCCAAGATCAAGGTGCGGGTAGGGCTGGTTTCTCCTGAGACTTTTCTTTGGCTTGCAGATGGCCACCTTCTTCCTATGTTTTCACGTGGTCTTCCCTCTAGGGAAGAAATCTCTAGATTTCTGTGCCCTGATCTCCTCTTATGAAGGCCCCGGTCATAATTTAATTACCTCTTAAAAGACCCTATATCCAAATGCAGTCCCACTCTGAGTACTGGGGGGTTATAACTTCAACATACCAGTATCAACTTTGCATCAGGGGACACAGTTCACCCCTTAACAACTACCATTTTCTCCCATGACTTTTATTTCCATGCATGTTTTGTAAAACCTTCCATTGTACTCTCCTTAGAGAAAGAGCAGGCCATTGTGCTCTTCGGTGAGCTGATCCAAACCTGTCCCTGAAGCCCCCAGAAGCCTCCTCACTGAGTGAGGCCATGGTGCCTCCCTCTCCTTGCCCTCCAGCTCTGCTGTGTGGTTCCTCTTTGCCCCAGTTCTTGTCTATTTACTTCTCTTGGCTACACCCTAGCTCCTCCCTCCTGAGCTCCTGTGTGAGGGCTCCATAATGTTCCTTGTTGATGATGGCACATCAGTGCAGATTAAAATCACTGGGGATGTTGGTATCTTTACACCGTGGCGTATGCCTGTGAAATAATATGTGAGCTGAGGGTGGAGGGGGAGGAGTGATTGGCATGTTTATGGTGTGGAGGCAATTTTTATTGATGAAGGAGAAGCCGTGGAAGTTCTGAGTAATGTGTTCTTTTCCCCAATTCAATTTCCACATTCTGCAACTGGGGAAGGAAAGAGAAAGTCAGGAGGAGCTTGACTCATGATGATCCAGGGAGGCTTTCGCTAAGGAAAGTGGTCACGTGGACTTCACATGCTGGGTGGAGGCAGCCTCTCCCCGAAGAGGGAAAACTGGCAGGCACTCAGTGCTCAGTACATGATTAATTGCTGTGTTGATAGAACAGTGCAGGCCTTCTCACCCAGAGCCCAGGCCCCAGGCCTGCCTTTCCTAACGAAAGCAGCTGCCTGCTCTGGCCTAAATAGCTGGGGTGGAGGTGGGAGTAGGGTGGAGGAGTGACTTTTTCTCATATCCATGTGCAAAAGACTGCACTTCAAATTCTATAGCCCTAAGGGCCAAATGTCAAAAGTAAGTGACAAGTATTGGGATGGCAACATCTTCATGGCATTTAAAATTGTTGCCCG